TCAGAACTAGAGGTCACCCAATGAAATGAATAGGCAGCAGGTTTAAAACAAACAAAAGGAAGTTTTTCTTCACTCAGCACACAGTTAACCTGCGGAACTCCTTGCCAGAGGATGTGGTGAAGGCCAGGACTTTAACAGGGTTCAGAAAAGAGCTAGATACATTCCTGGAGGTTAGGTCCATCAATGGCTGTTAGCCAGGGTGGGTAGGGATGGGATCCCTGCCCTCGGTTTCTCTGGAGGTGAGTGACAGGGAGGGGTCAGGTGAGGATTCCCTGTTGTGTCCCCTCCCTCTGGGGCATCTGGCGCTGGCCACTGTCGGCAGAGAGGACACTGGGCTGGATCGACAATTGGTCTGACCCAGTCTGGCCGTTCTTGTGTTCACCTATAGTTGCATGAGAGTGTGCCCCTGGCTGCTGGGCTGAGTTGGCCCCAAGAGTCTGCTTTTGTGACCCCCCCCCTCCACTCTGCACCCCCATCCTGGTTATCTGGAGCACAGACTGGATCTGGCCCTGGTGTTTCTAGCCCAATCTCCTGTCTCTGACACAGCCGAGCCAGCCCCAGATGCTTCAGAGGAAGGTGTAAGAACCCCGCAGCAGCAGATGGGGATGATCAGACCCTCCGCAGAGGTCTTATCGGGGTCTCTCATAGTTGGAGACTGGCTCAAACCCTTCGACACAAGTTTTAATGTCCCTGCCAGGGTGATTATTGGTATGAATTATGAGAACAGCGGACAGTCGTATTGTCCATAGAATCATGAATCCCAGAACACTGGAACTGGCAGGGTCCTCGAGAGCCATCCAGTCCAGTCCCCTGCCCTCATGGCAGGACCAAGCACCGTCTAGATCAGTGGTCCCCAACGTTTTGGGGCTGCCGGGTGCCTGGGGGCGGGGCCACTCACAGGCCACGTGCTTGGGGGCAGGGCCAAGCATGTGCCGCACGCCCGGGGCCGGCACCGACATGTGCCGCGACCCCGGGCAGGGGCCGCCCATGCGCCTGGGGCTGGTACTGGCATGTGCCGCGACCCCGGGACCAGGGCCCGAACCAGCATGTACTGCGACCCGGGGCAGGGGCCACCCATGCGCCCAGGGCTGGCACCTGCGTGGCGCCTGCGGGCACCGCGTTGGGGACCACTGGTCTAGATCATCCCTGACAGACGTACGTCAAACCTGCTCTGAAATATCTCCAGCGAAGGAGACTCCACAACCCCCCTGGGCAATTTAATCATAGAATCATAGAACTGGAAGAGACCTCA